ACGACTCATATGTACAAAGTATTACTACTCTTATATACAAAGTATAACGTCTCATATGTACAAAGTATAATGACTCATATATAGAAAGTATAACTACTCATATGTACAAAGTATAACTACTCCTATATACAAAGTATAACTACTCCTATGTACAAAGTATAACTACTCCAATATACAAAGTATAACGACTCATATGTACAAAGTATAACTACTCCTATATACAAAGTATAACTACTCATATGTACAAAGTATAACTACTCCTATATACAAAGTAGAACGACTCATATGTACAATGTATAACTACTCCTATATATAAAGTGTTACTAGTCCAATATACAAAGTATAACTACTCCTATATACAAAGTGTAACTACTCCTATATACAAAGTATAAATACTCCTATATACAAAGTATAACTACTTTTATTTACAAAGTATAACTAATAAGTGCAAAGCATAAATACATTGATATATAGGTAGATTAAAAACTACATTTATACACAATCTATTACTACTTTTATGTACAAAGTATAACTCCATGTAAGTAGCACTGTGTTACCAGCCAACATCCTGTCGTTATCTAGTATGCCTATGCTGTCCTGCTCAATAATGATAACAAGTTAAAATTTAAAAACGGTATATTACCCTTACCTTTGAGTCTTTACATGCTTCGATACCTAATAACCTAATAACCCCTGTATGTATATCTCACAAAACAGAATGTATTCATACTGTGTGAAATGCAATGTGTAATTCACAACATTCCCCAATATATATATTGCAGTATGCTATGCACTTTCTAAATGCACTTTTGATTACAACCATTTAAGTGTCCATTTATCTAAAGAACTGTCAGCTTCTAAAGCCCGCCTCTTTGTCGTGTGTATACAAATGAAGATGTTTCCATGGGTTGAATTTCATTGAAATTTTGATAAATCTTATCAAATCGGCGGTATTTGTGCATTTTTAACATTATATACTCAAACATTATTTCATAACAGCTTCATTCTCAAATTCAGATGAGCTCTCAGAAAAGCTAACAATACCATCCACCAATAGACTCGTTATTGATAATGCCATCACTTTATGAGATACATTGATTAATTCTCCCATTAAACGTTTTACTCGGTTGTCATTCTAAGTTGAAGATTGGTCAAATGGATACGCCACTGACCCTACAGGGCCCGTGGCCATCTTTAAGTCTCTAGTTCTTAATGCACATCCTGTTGTTTATCAAGTAAGGTAAACGACACCACTGTAAACTTCAAATCAAGCGTAGGATACGGCATCTATAGCAGACGGCTACCTCAGTAATATTGGACAAAGATGCATTTCACGGACACAGCAGATCTATACTCAAACGTACCGGTGAATATATATTACAACACTACGCAACTGAAGGGACGATATTATAACTCAAACAATATACAACTTGTAAAGCTATCGTTTTTCGTAAGGGTCCATGTACCAATGACAAAAATGTAACTTTGCAATGGAAACTGGGTTTTTTCGGCATGATTTTTGTTTTGATACACTTTTATTTATATATTTTTTGAATAAAACCATTCCTTGCGGGACTTTAAAGAAAATGATAAGATAAAATAAACGAAGAGAACCAACAACAGTGTTCCGAATGTAAGGACCAACAACAGTGTTCCGAATGTAAGGACCAACAACAGTGTTCCGAATGTAAGGATCAGGGTTCAGTGGTTCAAAGGGTGGTAAGCTTAATCACTGTTTAACGACCAATTTTCAACATCTATTAATTCGGTCAATATACAAGGTAAAAACTCGTCATTTTGCATGTAAGTTAACTGTGCTTAAATCTTTGCTATCTGGAAAGATTTTAATTCAATTAATGGTTGTGTTCTAAAAATACACACACAAAAATGCACTAATCACTGATTAAGATAATCACTTTATGAACAACTGGTCCCTGGATTCGAACTCTGGACCTTAGAATGTAATGCTACCCCGCTTACCAACTGAGCTAGCGGTTCAACGGAAGAAACTTTGTCCAAATTGAGTTTATCTAGAGGTGAAACAATGTATCGCGGATATGAGGATTAACATTTTCCGCACTGGCCTTGTTGCGTCTTTTGCTTATGTCTGCATTGTGAAACATACCAATAACTATACTCATGAATGACATAATCGTTTTATTTTGCAATGCTTAGGGTCGTTTCTCCAGATACCGACAAGGTACATAGACTAACAAAGTCATATCAAATGTCTCGACTGATTGTATTCAACTCCACACGGGGACATCAAACACCTTTCAGATGTGATAATGGAAAAGGTGTTAATATTTTCACAATAAAGGCATGTCAACTTATTTTACATTGATTAAATACGCACGAAATAATAGTTAAAGCAGTGTAACCTGAACAGAAATCAGAGTTGCCTTTTCATTAGACACAGTGAATAGGTACATGTTAAATACGTGTATTGTATGAGACGTTGTACCGACATGGCTAATAATACATGATAAAAATCTACGTGTAGGCTTACACAATTATAATCAATTCATATTGGCAAAGAGTGAATATGTTCACAATGCACAATGGCTACAGGTAACGACATCAAACAAAAGCAAAGCTATGTAGATATTTCAGGTAACAACATCAAACAAGAACAAATCTAAGTATATATTTCCTTTACTTTACTCGGCCGCTATCGAACCCATATCAGTAACGTTAAAAAGACTCATCAGCCACAGGGCTATAGCACAATTACCATTACGTGAAAGATCGATGAGTATTGTAAATTAATCATTTCTTTAGAATGTATAATTGCAAACAACAATTGATTGCAAAATATCTATCAGTTATGCATGATGCTAGATATTTCTCCTAAATGCGTGATATGTAAATAATCACTAGAATATCGAAAAAGGGAGAACATATTTGACAGTAGATAGTGAAAGTAAAGTACAGTTAATATTTTACCGTAACACATGGCCATTTTGGCTATGAAGGACCCATCAGTGGTGCTGCTAATCAAGGCCTTAAAATGGTAGTTGGTATTCCCTGCTTAACGTTCAGCATAAAGGGGAATGACAACAACTGGTTCACTCGTTGTCAGTATAATTGGACCGGGCGGAATGCTGTGCTTGGCGCCTTCGGCATGATATTTCAGTGAGATAGCGCTATAACCTTGTCTCCAGCACACTCACTCACGCACGCATGCAAACACAACACACATGGAGGCACGTCCTTAAAAAGCCTTAGCTGTTAATAGGACGTTAAACAAAACAAAATAAAACCAAACCAAACAGATCAAAAGATTAAAAATGGTTATCTAACATGATCAGCATTATTATGTAGAACACAGCAAAAAGAAAAGGTGCCTATAAGAACGTTTTATGACGTCACCATTTTACAACTCTCCGAGGGGCCGCGGTGGCAAAGTGGTTAAGGCGTCTGACATTCTGCTATCACTAGCCCTCCACCACTTGGTCAAGGGTTCGAGACCTACTATACGTGGAGCAGTTCCCAGGTACTGTCCGTATAGTCAGTGGTTTTTCCCGGGTACTCCGGCTTTATTATACCAACAAAACCTGGCACGTCCTTAAATGCCCATATATGTTAATAGAACGTAAAACACAAGCAAACCAAACAAACCCTTGGCTAACACAAGTAAAACGAAAATCATTAAAGTAAATGATATGTTGTTTCATGATACTTGTGATATTATGTGGAAGCCGCAATAGCTACAGTTAGAACTATATTTTCTGATTAAACAACATTTATAATCTAAAATTAACCAGATACTTCATGTCGTAAAGTGAAAATGACGACTATGAGCACATTTTAGTTAAAATATAAAAAATGATGTCTAAACATGATATAACAAATTTGGCAGATATCTGACAGTGTTTTTACGAGTGATAGTGAAATGCTATTTTATGTTTTATGTTTTAGGGCTATTCGACCCTACATCATTCACCAGTTTGATTTTCGTTTCCTTGTCACGTGACTTCAGAATTTTTGTATATACCAATTGATAAGAGGTTTCTATTGATTCGATTCCACTTTTATCACATGTGAAAAAACATTATTCTCCAATTTATATGTGTAATAAGAGAATGTATTTGATGAAAATGGATCTTTCATTTGATTTTCCCCAAGATTAACACCTTATTAAACAGAATATACCTTGATAAATTTTGCGCTTACGTTTCTATATCAAAATTCAAGCTCCTATTTATAATTTTCAAGACGTCATATTCGTTTTTCTTCAACACTATACACAGACACTTTTTACCAAGTAAGAGAGAAAGAAATTGATTTTTGGTATTTCTCGAAAAATCTAAACAAGTGTACAAGAATCACCGCACTCTTCAAAATCCTATCAACGACATACCATCACATTGAGTATCCTTAGTGTCTAAAAATACGCATGTATTGACAACTTTGTTTCCATATTCAATTTGATTCAATTATCTACGCGTTTAACCATTTAAGTAAAATGAATACGATCCTTTACATGCTAAGCTGTATGGTTCAAATCAGTTTAATATTGATTCATGTTTACTGTAAATCACACTGCACCGTGCCTGATAGTGTATTGTTTACAGTAGAGTATTGTGATGCACTTCATATTGTTATTTTTGACCTTGCCAGGTTTGAATAGTCAGGAGACTATATGTGTTTGGTGTAGAGGCTATCTGTCATGTGGAGACCTCACTTCACATTGTTATTTTTTGTCCATGCCAGGTTTAAATAGTCAGGAGACTATATGTGTTTGGTGTAGAGGCTACAGTATCTGTCACGTGGATACCTCACTTCACATTGTTATTTTTTGTCCTTTCCAGGTTTGAATAGTCAGGAGACTATATGTGTTTAGTTTAGAGGCTATCTGTCACGTGGTGACCTCACTTAACATTGTTATCCTTTGTCCTTGCCAGGTTTGAATAGTCAGGAGACTATTTGTGTTTAGTGTAGAGGCTATCCGTCACGTGGTGACCTCACTTCACATTGTTATTTTTTGTCCTTGCCAGGTTTGACGAATCATGAGACTATACGTGTTTGGTGTAAAGGCTATCTGTCACGTGGTGTCATAACGACAAGTAGCAGTGCCGTTTACATCCGCCTCTCAACAACTTCCGATGACGTCACAGGACTTATCTTTATGCTGAAATTCTGGTCTACTATGAGTACGTATACACATTAACATGTTTACCTAATAGCAGTTTTTATATTTTGTGAAACCTAGATTTTTCTGACACTCTGTTGATCAAATTAATTGAACAGGATTTAGGAATGAATTAACTAATATTTTTTGGTAGAAGTAGGGTCAGAGCATTATGCTAGAATACACAGAATGTCGGAATATTCAGGTATCAAATTCGACAGCAACAGGTTTCAATGAATTATATTTTGAATGTTAAATTATTTTATGTGACTGGGTATATGATTACCTTGCATTGTTTTATTGAACTGACACGCCAGCATAGTTCAATTTAAACCCACTGGGTAAGTTTACCTAATACACGTGTAGCCATGTAGTGTTTCGTAAACAGACCCCTAACTCAAACCCTGTTTGTAAGTTTCGATTTTTTATCTCAACAACATTCCAATCTGTTGTAATCTCGAGTGAAGTTAGCGCTGAAGTAGATCTAATCTATTTATGGACACTCTATGTAAACACTAGTATCAACTGATATGTGTTAACAGTTAGAACAATGCAGTTTTATGTTTTAGATAGAGGGCTCAAAGCTGAATATGCATGCTATTGTTGGTTCATACTGACATAATTATATTAGATGACACTAAAACAAATCTTTCCTTCATCCTCATTGGTCCTCATAATCACGTGGAGGTCAGTGATTTGTGAAATTGACTCGGTGTTACTGTTTTGATTTTATTTAAATTTGTGCCCCCGCCATAACATGGGGGGATATAGTACTAGTGTTGCCCATGTCTGTCCCGTCCCGTCGCGTCGTGTCCCGTCCCGTCCCGTCCCGTCCTGTCGCGTCCCGTCCAATCCTTGAGCGGGGGCATTTATGTCTTACAGACATTTTCTAGTTTCAATGACGTCATTTCAATTGTAACGTCACAATATTCTCTGCCAAATGCAGTATTTTCTCCTGATAGTTTTCATATGTTTCATCTGGTGTAATAAGTAAAACTTTATTTAGCATCTAATATGATAATTCACGACTCTTATGTCGGTGATTATGTGGTAGTATATGAACCTGAAAAAGTTATACTTACCGAGACTTCGTCTCTGTCAGCAACACTTTCTCTGGTCCATATCTCTAATTTACCTCAAGAAAAGTTCATAATTGATAAAAAGAAAGATACATGGAAAAATCTTTTAGCACCTCTCCTTTTGTTGCAACATTAGCTCAAACCAAGTTGAATTCCAACTTTTTGGCCCTCAGCATCAACGATGAGTGAAAGAAGGACGAAACAGCTGTATGGTGGAGTGAAGTTCATTTTTGACAACCTCTATAAATGACCAAATTAATAGATAGAAACCAATGTGTATCCTAGGTTCATTTTTGTAGTACTATGACCGCTGAAGTAAATGAAAAATGTTGATTGTTCTAGTATTATATCATTTACAACAACCTCATTATCACAAATGTTATATCTGTTACATCACTTCCGTTTATTTATTCATATTTTAGTCTTTGACTTTACATTTACGTTATAATAGAACTTCCAGGTTTTTTCATATCCTTTCTATCGGATGCCGATATAATACACGCCATCAAAATGCAACTTCAATTTACATTTTTCAAGTGAAAGGTTTTTGTTACATAACACTTCCTGTTATTAAATTCTACCTCCGTTATTATTTCCATCCAGGTCAGACTGTTCCGGGGCCAGTACGTCTTGGACCCGCCAACTATTTCCTCATTTCGTTCAGCATCTTGGTAGGCACCACTCTCCTTGTCGGAGTCATCTACCTCTTCTACAGGGAGTACACCACACACATGCAGAAAAAGGAACAGACGTTTAAGAAAAAACTGCGTGTAAGACGGCAGGGAATTAGTGGAGCTAGCGGTACTGTCAATACCGAGTTCGAAATGGAGGACACAAGCAGTGAAAAGGACACGACTTTATCTTATCTCACCGTCTCTCCGAGTCCGGATGGTAGTGTTTGACCAAGGGGTGACCCGTTCATGACGTCATAGCAAAACATTCAACGCGCTTTGGTCAGAGGATTAGCATAATTGAGCAACAATGGAAGGCTATTTAAACTCAATGGATCCAATATATGTGGGAGAACATAGGTTTAAAGACTTGTGATATCTCTCGGGTTTGACGTATACAAAACAAAGTGATGTTTGGAATTACTTCCTCAGCACGAATGTTTGAAATGAGTTAGGTACACTGTGAAAGCGTCATCCAAGTCACGTTTCCATAGCAACCAGACGTTAGTTGTATATTAGACATTGAATATTTCAGTAAATATACAAATGCCAGTATTTGTCAGTGTTCGATTTCCTTTATCCAAATAATCTCTGGTTGCTTGTTGAAATGATATCATTGTCATAGTTTGTGTGATGCAATAGAAGTGTGTTTCAGAATATATTCTTCTTGGGCTTGATCGGATTGGTACCCAAAAACGGATATTTGGTTAAGAAAAGACACTATACACTTTACTTGATTTGTTAATCCGGGAACATCAGGACCGACAATTCACATGCCTCCAAAAGACAGGAGTTATTTGGTATCTGTGGCCTAATTTTAGCTGATCAAGGATGTTTGAGTTGATACATCCCCCGTGTATCACCTTCCCGTTTAAAAATAGTTTATTGGTTTAAACGTCAATGTAATAGGATAATCTAAAAATGTATTCACTTTTCCTGGATAACAATCTTCACAACACTGTGGAATGCTATTATAAGTTTCAATTTACAATTTGGAATAGTTGGATATATTCGGTATGCAAAGATCTGCACTTGTGACATGTGAGAAATTAACACGTTCAAAATATCCGGAGCTTATATTCGTAATCTACATATAGACAATATGGAGAATACTTAAAGCAATAAACCCCTGCCATATTGTTACTTTGAGCTAGTTCAAATAAGAAAGTAACCATTGTGTCACGTGCAAATATAATGTCCATGAACTTATTTGTGTTATGCGATAACAAATATGTGATATTGTAGATTTCCTACGCTTTTTGCAGCGGATTTAATAGAGGGAAACGTGAAACAGTCGTTCCGTCGGGGGCAATGGAATTATACTGTGAAATGGCACGTGCATCCTCGATACTCCAAGGGCTTTGCTCATTTTTGCTCTCTGCACCCCTGGAATATGTCAAAGCAAATTTAAGGGCACGCGACTAGCCATTTGATTGGTCTTAAAACATTTGACCAATATCTAAGGATGATATCTGTCCTTTGAAGATTGCAGAGGATCAACACTCACCTTAAAGCAATTATTTTTACTATTATGCGACATACAGATTCTTTTGATGTACATCAAAGGATCAAACTAGTCTTCTCGTCTCATCCACGATTTTGCTATGACGATTTCAGGGGTGCGGATGTCGAAAGTGAACATAACCCCTGGAATATCGAGGACGTGACACGTGAGAAACAGTGACACATTTCTTGTCTTGATTCATAGTACGTTACACCTGGATGTATTTCATAAGTGTAAAGTAGTGATCGACATGAACGGAAGTGCGCATATTTCATGGGTTTGTGGTTAAAAAGTGTTTTATTTCAGACTTCCTTTATGTGTATGTCAATTGAATATATACTAGCCATTTAAATTCGTTTAATAATCATTAAATGTTGTTACTTTAAATAACACACCATTTAAATAGCCATTAAACAATATTGGAGAGTGCTCGTATTAAAAGATTAATTCTTAATTGTACCACATCCACGTTGGTCTAAACATGACCATACCATTTCCTGGTAGTTCTGATATGAGTATGTATATAGATATATTGAATTGCACATCTTGTTGATAAAATATGACATATGTAGTCTTGTTTTAAAAAACATGTGTTATTGTAATAAATTTCTATGCAATTGTCATTAAATGTCATTAGGATCAATAATTGTATGGTTTGTTATATTTTGAAACTATTATTAAATATTATTGTGTTAATAATTTTCGTATTCATACTGATTAATCATCAGACAATTATATATTAAGACGAATAGGTATAGATTATTCGCAAGAAATATTTTGTGTTACCGGTAACTCTATCTTTCTTAATGTTTTGGTCTATTCCTTTCCCGAATCTGCAGATGACTTTTGGTTAATAAACCTAGAAATGTAATTTGTATAAAAGTATCTGTTAAGAGACAAACAAAAGGCTCATTATACGTGTACTACTTCAGTACTTCTCTTATACAACCATATCTGTCTTAACTTATAATGATGTTAAATATCAATGTTAATCATTTTGCATCTCTAAGAGGATGGTAGCATGCGTTTTTCTATAAAAAGATAGCCTTATCGCGCCTGATTAATTTCACTGAATCCCACACTCAGCTTATTATTGCCGTCTCGAGCTTTTGAACATATCCGCTTGGCGATGAAAGAACTTCAGGTAGTTGGGCCTTATCATAGTCCTATGGTCACGTGCTCGTTGGCGCAATTTAGATTTTCATCAATATTTACTCTTTATCCTTCGTATTTTTCTTTATACGGCATTTGAATACAATAAATGGCAAAATGTATCTTCTATCAGCAGACCAAACAGGCTGTCCATAGGCTTATTAAGACCCAGAGGTATTTTTGGGGAACTCTTCAACTTTTGTCATCTTATATGTTTTCTTATTTTCATTATTTCCCGGCATGCAATGTCTTTATACAAATTAAACCTTTAACTTGCTGGCTATTATTCAAAATGCAGACAAAACATGTATTAAGCTGGCTTTCAAATAAGAAACAATTCATGAAGAAATGTATAAGATTTTATATTATATTTGTGTACTAACAATGCTTTTACCAAATGATTTTGATTAAGATCTACCTGAAAGGTCAGAGAGAAGACGACAAAGATAATCAATTAGTTCAATACATTCTATAGCCGTAATGCGATGGAAACGGTGCCTTTAGTGGGACAAGCTCATCAATCGATAATGGCGAAGATAGTGTCTTTATGATCGGTCAAAATGAAATAAACAAGCAAAAGACAGAGTACTTAGCGCTTTCGTCCATTTATTGGTTCATCAGGTAAATAATTTTATTATGTCGTCATGCTTAATTTACATATTTTTAGAACGGTCATCTATTTATATTTATAATGTTACACAAATATGTAAACAGTGCCATTTGCTTTATAAACGTGGCCCGCGAACAGTATATATCATTGTCCGCCGTTGTAAGCCAATCTATATTTGGATATTATCTAAATAAAAAAATGGAGTCTGTGAGGTTGGGGGTTGGGCTTGGTTAATTGCAAAGTGGGCTGGTGGGGATTGGGCATTTGCAACCCCAGTCTCCTACTACTTGCAGTCCTATTATTAAATGTGTTATCATAAGCGAGCAATTCACCATATATGAAGGGGTCTAATTTGTTATAATAACTAACTCAAACGTGAAGTATTTCCTCATTTTCCAAAGAAATTGTCCGTCAATAAAAGCAAACGTGTGTCTCAAAAGAAATTTTGATATGTTTTCATTAGGTTACCACATACTCTGTACAGAAATAGACGCTTTCGTTCTTTTCCCCTTGTTTTGTGATTCATTAAGAGGGGAGACATTGTAGTTAATAAGAGTTAACTAGTTCGAATGTCTTTAGAGAATCATTTTCATATAAATGAGCTTCGTACAAGTAATCAAATAAAAGAGAACGGCGAAAAATTTGCAGAAATGGCGTTCGAAATTTTATCAGGCCATGTAAGCATCTAAACCACATTAAGGATACCTGTCCCAATGCAGACAAAACACTGGAGACTTCCACTGTAGTTTTTGTACATACAGTAGCCTCCCCTTAATTTCGTTTTGAATATACTGTAGCGCAACTAGACCAAGAATTTTCTGTTGACTAGGTAGCCCAGCTGGTTAAATAAGCATTTGTTGATTTATTAATAAAACTTTTTTTTTTTGTATATTTATTTTATCTTTTTAGTTTTTCATAAATATCCCGCAAGGTGCAGTTTTTACTCCAAATATGATTCATCATCATGCCGGAAAAAGCAGGTTCCAATTGATATGAACAGTTTTGGCAGTGGTACAGGGTTTCTTTTAATTCTTACGGATAAACTCACATTAGTTTATTTCCATGCTTTGGTTTTTTATACCACTTGAACTTTTTTAAAAAGCTACAAGTTTCGCATTATCGTTGATCCAATTCAGTTTAAAAGAAGCAGCCGTTCTCATGTTGATAGGTTGTGGTCTGCAAAATTTTCATAATGAACTTTAAAAAAGGTTATATCGTCACAATGAGACGCCACTGAGGGACAAATTTCTTGAATCGTGCGTTGAAAGTATATAATATAACTCATTCTTTTGCTTCTTTTTTTTTTTTGTCTTTTATCTTTTAACATTTAAGTTATAGTTTGGTGTGTTTCTGTATATTTCAATGTCCATTTTGTGTGTACTTCCAATGACTTAAATTGCCAATGGGCCGTGAAACTAATTAATGCTGAAAAATACCATCATACAAACTTCATGAAGTCAGATAATATAAATATAGGAATATAATTTATTAACAATAAACCAATAATACAATGACAATTTGAAACAGATATAAAGCATTTAGATTTGTATACCGCGGAATGTTAATGGTTAAAACACATTTGAGTTTGAGATTCAGCAAAAGTTATCGTTTATAAGGCTTCTGTAGGATCCTTGTCCCACTGCGCTCAGTCTCGTTCAACCTGATTCTTGTTGTCTGTGCAAGCGCTAAGCCGGAAAGAGAAGTGATCAAGCGTCTGGTTGAACGAGACTACACTCCACTGTGTTTTTTTGTTATATACAGTAACCTCCCCTTAACCTCCGCTAGGATATATCTGTAAGCAGAGTTGGGACAGGTAACTTCTGTTGACCACGTAGCTCAATCGGTTAGAGCAATAGTCTGAAATCCAGGGTTCGAATGCCGGTGTAGCCTTGCTGCATTCTTAAACACCCAGACATTAATTATGTTTACTTCATCTTTAATATTTCTCATAAAAGTCCTGCAGTGTTTGGGTTTCTTTTCAGAAAGATTTATAATACTATAATATTGCATGTAAAAGCGGTTTCCAATGTGTAGCTACAGTTTCTGGCTTTAGCAGGGGATCCTTAAGAAAGCCCTCGGAGAGTGAGTTTTCCGAATTTGTCTGGATGAAGCCAATTTCAGTACATATGAAATAGATACTATGGAAAATTTAAGGGTTTAAATTCAATGAGAAACATATGTTAAACCTACGTAAAGCACTTTTAAAATATGATTACAAATAATAAAAAATGTTCAAATGATCTGGTAAATAAGTTTAACATTGTTTAAAACATCTTCATGTGTAGCATCAAAAAGCTATATTTACTCCTCATAATTAAGTTCACAGTTGAGTATTAAAAAACTGATTGTAACTTTTTGTCAGTACGTATTGTTATTTGGTGTTTGTTTACATTGGCATGCTTCTTTTTCATAATTGATATTGGCAGATAAAACGCAGCGTTCTCCAAATCTTCATTTCTAAACTTAACAGAAATGAAATACCGGGTATAGGGATATAAAAACATATCTAATATTGTAATATAATGTACATAATAAACGTTCTACCCATAACATATTTCATTCCCATGGTTTCGTTAGTATCAGAAAACGTCTTGATATTGTAAAGTTTGAACTGCTTGAATATCATATTTTTCGTGAAGTCAATCGTGCAGATACCATTAATCAATCTGAATTTTCATCGTCAATTTCATGAACGTATTTTTTTATAGGGCAACGTCTGTCCCTTCCCCGTCCACTTCCGCTATTCGTGTCGGCTCCGGAGTTTCGCCCCCTACTTCACTATACACCGGCAGACTAACTTGATCCGGGTCTTTCTCTGCCTCGTGCAGACTCTTTAGTTCCGGTTCCAGTTCTTGGTTTGTGACATTTACTTCCGGATAAGGTTCAAATTGTTTGACATTTTGATCCACCTCATTGATGTCCATGTACTCGTCATTCAGCCCCGGGGTGGCGGGGGCTATAGTAATCCTCTCTGCTTCTAATAGCCCGGGGGTCGTGGCACACAAAGTGATACCCCCATCATCATCCTGTATTGGAGACGGGCCAAAACGACAAATCGCAATTTCACTGACCGTAGGGTAGGGCGAATTGGTTGCAAACATACCGTCTCTACTAAAAGCAGAATTTACTCTGTCAAACGTGTTCATTGGTGGAGATTTGATTGGCTCCACCCCTGGTGTCACGTACTTAACCTTCCATTTCTTGTAGCATCCGACAGCAATGGCAGAGGCGATACACGCGAGGATAATGAATGACACCAGAACGACGGCGACAATAGTCCCTGCGCTCTGTATAGACTCATCTTCAGTTGATGACGTCACCGGAACTGATTGGTGGAAAAATCAACGAAAATTTAAACAACAACAATGTAACATATATTAGAAAATGGGAAGCTGTTTTATTGTACGATGTATGATGTTCAAAATAATTGCATTTTTGTTTCGAAAAATGGATTTGTTATTTTATACAATGTCTTATTATTTTACTGTGATTAAGTTTGTTTCAACATAAACAACAGCAATTTTTTATGAAAGTTCAAGTTACTGGTACCTTGATTTTCTTTTAGATAGTAAAACGAAAGCACTCATTTTAGTGAGTTTATTTGAATCAATATTTGAGGAAGGTATGTACAGTAATAAAGAACTTACCACAGGTTTCTGTAATAAACAGATAGAATATAAGTTAAGCATGTACAGATATATATATATATATATATATATATATATATATTTGATGTATTACTGAGGAATTAGATTAATTCACATATTAAAAAGGAAATATTATATTACTGCTTATTTTGCGTCAACATATAGAAATGAGAATGCTGACAATACGTATAACAGTTCAGTGAATTCTTCGCTAATTTTTACCGCAGTTAACTAGAATTATTAGCTATCCCTTGCTTGATTATTATCAGTAACAGTATTTTTTAAAAGAAGAAGAAATTCACAAATTCACAAAATCTCCTCTCCGGTAGGACCATCTATTCTTACGAAGATACAAGATATATCACAAATGGTAATGTTGAAAGTCGATTAATTAATTAACTTCGTGCTAACGTCACAGGATTATGCGTACCTACGTCATAGATTTATGTGTACTTACCACTGGAGACGAGCTCAAGAGTAGCTCCTGCTGAATCGACACTGGTGGAAGTTTGTAAGTAGTGACAGCCCCGTGGATACTGTGTCATGTAGACACGGGAGTCATTGGCTGATAATGATGCTGCCTAGCAATAAAAAAGAGAAAACATGGACTTATATCACCCAATGTGAAATACACAGTGAAATCTTAGCCCAAGGGTAAGATTTTTAAATTGATGCACGTGATTTGCCGAGCGCTAAACTTCAATATAATGTTATCCAGAAGATTGAGAATTCGCCTTTTGCACCATACAGTAGTGATTGAGTAGTTTTTGTCACACTTTCCTAAAGTGAAAATTACTTGTAATGGTGACTGTGAAACATTTGTTAATGTCTAATATCATTTGTTAATAAAACATACCATTTATATGTGGACGGAAGGGAGGCAACTCAGTTTGTTTGTAAATTTTCGTCTTGTTCTTGGATTTTTAATAATACTCTCTCCCCCCCCCCCCCCCCCCCCCCCCTAAATTATTAATTTTTAAGATGTTTCAAAATAGACATAAATAAATTACATTACCTATTTCATAAAGAGTACACAAATGAACGAAAACATTATAACGTGTACATGTAGGTCAAGTGTCGTAAATATCTAAAGTGGCTAAATTTCTCAAATAAGAAATATTTCATCTCACATTTGCCAACCTTTCGGCCTTCAACAGCTCGCTGATTAAAACCTGTTCATGAAAAACAACAAGAGAATACCGAATATTCGAACTAACATTCGATCAAACCAGGGCAAAACATGGATGATACAGGGATGATAAGACCAGGTGTTCCGGAAGTGTAAACGTCTTCTGCTTCATCGACGACATCCGTCATACAAATAAGTAAAATCCAATCGATGTCACGTCCTCGCATCATGAACTCGGATAGTGACAACAAACCACAAAGCTATCGAATGAGCATAATAAAAAAACATCGACCATCATATCCCACAAAAACATAGCATATCTTCGTGCGAGATCCTGATGGCGACCATACGACTTGTCCATAGTCCCCATCGACCTGCATCTTTGCAAACCCTGTGTTGTAAGATCGTAAGTCAGCAGTCGACGCCATTACGGAAGTCATAATATTCGAAGCAAGCTCTTGAGTACCAAATCAACTGCGACATGTAAACACCTGGGGTAGGGGAAGCCGGGATGTCATTATCAGGAAAGGGAAAGTTCACGGTTAGAATGCCATGAGACGATGCATATCCCGTACACTACGTAAGCATTTCTTGTGTTAAACTTCATGATAGGTTGTGCTTAAATAGGTTGAATCAACATCTGAACAGAAAGAAAATCAAGTAATTAAGACGAACATTGCCTACTTACATAACAGGTGAATCTATAATAGGTGCTCTCGTCCGGGTCGGTGGTATCTGTGTTGATGGCGAGAGTAAATACCTCATCACCGGACTCCTCGTAGTAAACGCACGTGAGTTTTCCCTCCTCTAAAATACAATGAAACGCGTTTTTATATCAATCAGGTCGACCATGGTTTCCTCTCTTGTATCACTGGATTTTACCACCCTTTATATAGAGATACTATAATATTCATCATAAGTATCAACCTCTGAAACCTCAAATGAGGGAGGTCTTCCTCATTCCACATTTCCAATGAGAGAGAAAGTGCTTGAAATGCAACTGATACTGCTTCGCTCGATTTCTCTTCCCCCTTTTCTGTGTCAAAATAACTCCAAAAACATTCTTTTGATTCAGACTCACCTGTTATGATCATTACACATACCCTGCAGTAACTAGCGGATCATTTGACCACAGGATGTAGATTTTGAGTTTGTGTGAGTTTGGAATTGATTGAGGGAGTTTTGAGGGAAATTGGTAAATTTCGGTCAAAATGAGGGATTTCCCCTCCTAATGAGGGAGGGTTGACAACTATGCATTCTTAGAAAATGAAGAAAAAAATGGTTTACACTATAGACGTTTGTGGTAATATCTACTATGGCTCATAAACAGCTTTCTTTGCTGTTGTCGGTCTTAACAACATTGGTTTACCGTAGGATCATTTATTTATTTTGCTTAACTTTTCCCGAAACCCCTAAACACCTTACTTTTATTAGTCAAACATTGTGTAAAACTGCGATTGTTAGAAGCGGTATGAAAGAAATGAGGCAAGTTTAAAGATCGTCTGTTATTGAGAATCTTGGATGGATTGGAAGAAACACATCTGAACTTGAGAAACAAGAATTTTGAGAATAATTTTGATCGCATTTAAACCTCAGACCTTAAAATTAAAGATATCCCCCTGTCCTTATACGTCGTTTTTGTATCTTACTGACTTTTTCACTATTACTATCGTATATTTTCCTTCTCAGTAGTAACATATACTCTGCACTACTTCTATACGCGACACTCGCCAATTAAGTATATCAATATGTTCTTGTTAGACTTGTCATATTGGCTAAGACAATTCTGAAAAGAAGGTTTCTGAATGAGTCTTCAACTCTGCTTAAGGCATTTTACTGTCATACTTTTAGAAACTAAATAAACGAAACGTACATATTTTAGCGGCAGCCTTATTTTAGCGCTTTCCGCGCTTGAAATACTGCGCTTAATTATGAACGCGCCAATTGCAGTTCATTTCTATTGTTCTTTATTGCATATTTTCTTGTTGCGCCAATTCATAAATGCGCTAATCTTTTAAAATTCGATAATGCGCTAAAATTTGAGTGCGCTAAAATAGGTACGTCAATAGTATGTGCGTATAACTTCACTCACGTGAATATCCTTGTACAACTGAGCATGCACTGTAATTGTAAGTCATTTCCGTGACGTCATCACAAACATCCAGTTCTGTTGAGCTGGTGCAGAGGTTTCCAGATCCTGTGTCGAAAGTGTAGTTAAACCTTCCGAGCAGAGAATTCGGACAGTTGATTTTTGCAACGGATAAACTTCCTATAAATAAATAAATAAGATGTGAATGGGCGAATCCGAAGAATTTTTCATCATATTTATCTAATGATACTTTATATATCTATATCTTTAAATTATTTATAGGCAATTAATTGTAAAAGTAAAGATATAAACACCATGGCGTTGTTAAATGTAGTTAATACGGATGGCGCTAAAACCTGCATTTATACAGATTGGCAGATTCGCTTACTGAAACATATTCACAATACAAAAAACGTCATGTCCTTGATACTCCTGTTTTTGGCAACATTATTTTTATCAATTTAAACTTGAAAAATTGACAAAACAAGCTTGTTATAACCCATACTTACCATTTTTGACGAACACCCCAAGCTGTCTGACGTTACGTGTCGACGAAAAGTCACAGTCGTTGCTGATAGAAAATGCATACCCACTGACTTTCAGTACCAATCTGTCGTTGGTTGTATTGGCTAATACAGCTACAAACAGATTCATGGTGCTACAATAGTTTTAAGATATTGTATGATAAATGTTCGGTTTTGGTCATTTTCTAAAACTATCCCAGTAAAACCAATGTTTTGTTATACATATTTTTTATTTATTTAACAGACAATTATTAAATCTTTTTGCCCCAAATGTTGGCGCGCAAGTGGTCTTAATGTGGGAGGAAACCGGAGTACCTGAAGAGAACCCGTGTGATCGGGCAGGTGACCCCATACCTTTTCACGTCCGACTGGGGAATCGAACCCTAACCACCTTGGTGAAAAGCATGCTTTTAGATATGTTCACTGTTGTTGTTTGATGTTGATTCACTTTATATTAAGTAGGACATAGCTACGAAAAGTGTTTTCTTTGTAATACCTTTAACCCTAGTCAACAATTTCAGTCAACGAACAGTGTTTTTTTTCAAATTTAACATTGTTTAAGATGGTAGTATAACAAGAGTCCAACGCTTACAACTGTGATACTATTTTCCATTCTTTTTAGATTTGTTTTGCTTTGTGTATTTGCTTGTTGTGGGGTGTTGTGTTTTTTCCGGTTTAAAAAAAAAACAAAACACGCACTTCTATGCCTTCTGAATTTGTCATTGGGGTATCGCTGATGAAAAAAACCCTGAACGCCCGATATCCCAACATTGGTTCTTTGCGTAATTTTAAAGATATCTGTATCGGTAATTAAAGTTTAGAAGACTCCAATTTCAAGTTTAAGTTTTATTTATTCACTCCGACACACTTACGTGTGTAACAAGAGGTCACATACATATAGTAAGTATGATACATGGCGTGTGATGTACACAATTACAACATTGTACATAGCATAGATACATATAGAAGTACACAAATAGTACAGAAATTAAGTTAATATTTTTTCAAGCTTTTCTATGAATTTACAAAGTTTTGTGTAAATTTTTACATTAAATATATTAAACAATCCTTGCATTTTTAATTGACTTGGATAAGTGAAATAATATTTTGGTATATATTTCTCTCTTAGACATTTAACTAAAACACTTTCACATATAAATAAGTAATGAAATTCATCTCCAATGTACAAATTACATAATGTACAGGTTCTTTCTTGACGAGGAATACCTAACCATCTTCCTTTTTCTATGGGTAAATGCATATTGCAAGAACGGAATTTACACATTATTTTCCTATCATTTGTATTAAGTTTAATTAAATATTTTTCTTGTTCAAACTTTGTCTTTAATATTGAATATGTTTGTCCTCTAGAGGAGTTAAGAATATTATCAAACCATTTCTGTATAAATTGATCCTTCAGTCTACTTTTCACAAGCCTCTTAATTTCGTCTTTTGAAAAAGAACATGTAGATTGATAGTACCACACATAGTTCAGGCCAGTTTGAGAAAAAATATCTTTAACATATGCGAGCCATTTAAATAACATAGTTCCATTTTCATGTAATGTATACATAAGCTTATAAATAGTACTTGATAACTTACTAGAGGTAATCAACTTATGCCAGAATACTATTATTCTACATTTAATTTCGATGTCTAGTGGGTATCTTCCAAGCTCACCATAAACAATGAAATTTGGTGTACTTTTTCTTACATTTAGTATATATTTACAAAATTGAAGATGGATTTTTTCTATAATATTTGTGTTTTCAAAACCCCATATTTCTGATGAATACAGAAGAACTGGCATAATTAATGAATCAAATATCTTCAATTGTAGATCAACTGGTAAAGATATGTTTCTCAATTTCTTATAGACAGCAAACACTGATTTCTGTGCTTGTTCAACAATTTTTTTCCTTGCTTTAAAGAAGCTACAACTAAAATTAAAGAATAATCCTAGATAGGTATACCCTTCCAGTATTTCTAATTCTACGTTACATAATGTAAAATGGGGAGTTCTTGCACATTTTCTTTTTGAAAAGATGACAATTTTAGTTTTTCCTGAATTGATAGTTAACTTCCAAGTATTACAGTATTGTTCAAATTCATTTAAAGCTAACTGTAAACCATCTGGTGTTTCTGAAAACAGGACAGTATCATCGGCATATAAGATAATGAATAGTTTGAGATTGAATAAAAGATGGAGTAGAACACGAATACATACGTAGAGCTGTGTAGTAGACGACTTTTTCCGAGTCCTGTGAGAACATGTCCAGACACAGGGCGATCTGCAGGGATACCCCGAGGTAGGTGAAGCTATTAGAGCTGGAAAACAGATGAGATCGCTGTAAAAGGCAGCAGTGGAAATATGTTTTAATAGCTGAAGTGAAATTGCGTTACCAGGCACTGTTTTCCTTTGTGATATGCTTTTGCAAATAATGGAATCTTACCCAGTGGTTCAGATTTCTCAATCAAGCCCTCAATGTAGAAACATGTTATTTTCTTCACCCCTTCAGTCCGCAAACAAAAGCACACGGATGGCGTATGAATATTGTCCTTATCTCAGACGCTTTTCATATATGTATTAATAGCTCAATACGCACCAACACGTAATTCTCAATTACATCCAAAATTTATTTGTTATTTAAGTTTTCAAAATGATCGTGTCTATTCTGTCTTATTCTGAATTATTTCATTAACAAGTTTGTAATACCTTAGGATAGAAAAGAAGAAAAATGGTTTGAACGGGAGACAAAGCAATGTTAGATTAGAGAAAAAATATTTAAACCAAACAACTTTATAAACCATATTACAGAGAAGGTCAACCAATAAGACATTACAAGGAAAGCAAACTGAATCTCAGGAGCGTTACTCATATTCTTAAATCAATCTTTTAATTGAATCTAGATTCCATATATATATATCAGTGAACATGATTAAATGTGTTTTGCATACTACATGCAAACTACTTCATGGTCTTTTTATTAAGGTTCTGTTTATACAATTACAGCCTCGGGAACTAGTGACTAAAAGTTATTAATTTTCTAAAAATAATACAATATTGAGAAAATTCAAACAAAAATGATAATATAAAATATATAGAAATATTTTCTGTAATTTTATTTTTTGTTATCTTAATTTTTGATGGATTCAATGAAATTTTACAAATTGATAGGCAATCTGCAACTTGCAGTAACGCTTGATATTATCATTTAAACATTAAAGTTATGCCATTTTAAGAGTTGTAAGAAACCTAAGACAGGTTTAAGTCGCATAATTTACAAAATGAAGGATTGCCTAATATTGCACATGTTATGGTTTCAAAGTGTTGATAAGGTTGAAATGGCATCTTTGTCATTGGCTTCGGTACGTTTGCATCCCTAAACCACATTACGAAACCATCATGTCCTTAGTAGTCTATATAAGGTAAACATCAAATGCACACGACCCCTTGTTCAGACATTTTCCAAAGACATGAATATATTGATACTAACACTCCGAGGTAGTGGTTGTCGGTGCTCTCAGTACACGTAAACGATTGGATGCCGAACGTTGAGACACCATACTTTGTGGTAAAGGCACTGGAGCTAAAGGTGACTTCTCCAAAATCACTGGAATACCATACACCATCGAAGACGCTTGGATAGGTACAGGTAGCACCTATAAACACATATCAAGTTAGCCTCATGTAACATAACTATAGAAGAAGAGCAATATCATTTTAAACATTAATAAATTCAATGAGGATTTTTGAACAACTAACATGAAAGCTTGGTGAGTATTGATTAGCAGACTTGTATACATTACAAGTTACATTTGCATGAAGAATTATGATTCTGGAAAGTACATCAGAGAATCAAAAGTGATGTGCAATTTTCCTAGTCGCGTTTTTTCCAAGCAGATATATATATATATACATATTTTGATAGGGGATGCCATGGTTGGGGAGCCCTGGAGTCGGCCCCTGAACAATATGAAACAACATCCATCAGTCAAAACAATAAATAAATAAATAGGAAAGGCAATGGGAAAATAAAATATTTGCGAATAGAGTACAGGACAAAAACACAAAACATACTTCTTTCACACCCTAACAAATTCCATATAGAACATAATATTACAAGCAAGGATAAACATAGCACGTCTAGTATACACAAAAAACATAATACACATACAAATACATCTACATATATACTCATACACACATACATGATACAGACACACAGACAGACTGACGACTACCCCGACAGGCAGACAGGCAGACAGACAGACAGACAGTACATACATACATGTATACATTGAGACAGACTTGCATACATTGAATCGGATGTATCATAATGCACGCATAATTTCGAGCAGTTAAGAAACAGTAATAAATACACTGTGCAAACAGTGTCAGATGTACATATATATATACACACATGTGTATGAATATTTCTATGACAAATGTTTGTGGTCATTCACATTGATATGGACATATACTGGCATCAATTTTCAAATAACATTTTATAACCGGTTTTTATACAGGTTTTTATGTCCACAAAAATAAACAAAAAAACAGCACACACATCCACTCACACCATAACATACCGGATATCTGCAGTTCTATTTTCATCAGATTACAATATTTCACCAAAGAATCAAGATGAAATTTAAATAATCATTTCAAGAGAAAGAGTATCAAATATATAAACAAAGATACAAAGATGTATGGATTGTGTTAACTTGTTTTTTCAATCTGTTAAAAAATATCTTTCCATTCAAACCATATTTGATCAAATTTTTCATTGTGTATATTTTTTGAGGCTGATTTTTTTTCGATGTTATATCGGAATGCTAGAAACTCAATCAAACCAACATTCTCTGTCTCTCCAAATAATACTGTTTCTAATCTAAAATCAATTAATTTATCTAAGTTGAGGTATATTTTGTTTTTCAAATCTTGCCAAAGTCTGAAAGAATGAGGACATTCCCAAAAAATATGTTCTATAGTTTCAATTTCTGTGTTACACATATTACAAAGGTTATTGTTCAAAACACCAATAGTTTTCAAGTAATTATTTCCTAGTGGCGTTACCATGACCAGTTAATGATTATATTTATGATAATGGAAGGGACTATTTACTGAAGGCGGAGGTGTACCAGATGCATTATATGTACTTGTGATATGTCAGGAGTAGTCTAGAATCTGTATGGTTTTAAAAGTTTAACCTCTCTAGCTAAAATATTTAAGTATACTCTCATTTATGAAGTGGTTAACGCGACTTCGAAAAATCGTTTAAAACAAGACACATGTCCATATCAAGACATCTTACATTTTTTGGAACAAAAGAAACTACCAATAATCGTCTCGTCCATTCCCGACATTTTTTCTGACATGATTGCTTTTTGATTAAATATAAACTCTTTCGAATGGTTTTACTAATGAAATATGGTTTGTATGTTTCTATTTAATGTAAGACTACAACAAAACGATTAAAGGCAATACCGTTTTTGAATTTCGTACTGAAAAGAAAACTTTGAAGTTTGATTCATATTTAAAATGCATACAAGGTTATTTACCTAGGACAATAAGTAAATATTTTATTGATACAAGCATACTATGATTGATCATCGCCGATCGCGGTTAGACATAATTATAATTAAGATGTAACAACCAAGGAGAAATGATTTTTACTAAACCTTTATCACTATATCTCAAACAATAACAAATGTCAGCGTATTGTAAATTTATAATCCATTTCACTTGAAATTGAACCAAATAATTTAAATAACAAAAGAAATAAAAAAGTAATTATAAAGATTTACCTGTGAAAGGGAGACAAACAGTGGTCAATAACAGAATGATCCCTACTGACCGACCCAGTCGGCTTAGCTCCCTAGGGACCGCCATATATGTAGCATAGCTCAGCCTCCCATCAGATTACGTCATGAAATTTGCTGTAATAGATGCAAAATTGTACAGAGATTCCTCTCTTTACATGGGTGCAACGAGTGAACGACACAGCTCTGGCTGTGACTATGGAGATTGGGATTAGCTTATGACCAACTCGTGGTAGACAGGGGCCACCGATGGGTTTATCTTATTTTTCGAAATAAGTATGATGCCTGCTTTTCTTTATATTTATTATCCCACGCAGTTGAATAAAACATCAAAAACATAATTAATGATTTCAATTAAAAAAAACACCAGAAACATCACATAGACTTAATACAGTAATTTTGGAAAAAGTTTGGTATGTGTTTCGCTATAGAACATTACAAGATTAATGAACGGTGATGCTTATCCGTTTACCTTAATCTTCTGGTACATGTATTTCTTTATCAATTCCAACGACCATGTATACATGTATACACCCAGCTATTAATGTAAGCTCTCTAACCATTACAATTACATGACTAGCCTTTTAACTAAGGATTATTGTAAAAATGGATTTTTCGTGGGATGGAAATGTTCGCGTATTCCCACGTTGAGTATATAAGCGCGAAGATATCAACGCGCAAATAAGTATTCATAGATAATAGATTAATAGAATATATAGTGTTCAAAACTATCGCCAACGATAAATTTCAGCTGATAGATTTTCAACTGAGATTTTCTTTTTTTGAATTAAGTTTATGTTTAGAAGTCTTCTAATGTTTTGGACCAAATGATAGATATATACTGTATACCGGGACATTTTCGCTGCAGATTAATTTTCGACCTCCGTAGTGAGGGCGAATTTATCATTACAGCGAATATAAGGAAATCATAATAAACATAGTAAATATATGTGAAGGGTGAAATTAACTCTAGGTGAACATTGCTTTCATGGCAAAGGGCGAACATTTTACTGGGCAAAAGTTCCCCGGTATATAGTACATATCTGGTCCGGAATACTTACTTAACGGATTGAAATTCAAATTTAAAGTACTGTTTTATTACGATAAAGATATCCATACTTAATATACTGTAGGAAAAGAAAGTACAATACTGATCAATGGTTGGTATCTAAAGTGTCAACTTTGGTGATTATCTCCCTTGATGCAGTAAATTATGAGTAAAAGTGTTTTAGATATATAGACAATATATATATAAACCTGTATATTAGTTGTTATGCTGTTTCTAGAATATTTGCAATTTTAGATTTGATTGTATTTGCAATTCAAATTAACGTTGTCGTGAACTAACAAACAAATATTCAATAAAAGGAATAAAGATGTGTACAGAAGTATTTTCCATTATTTTACACATAGGTTTCATTACATACTTCTATGATGCTTTAAAAGTAAAATATTTTAAAATTGAAAACACTTGAATAAAATAGAGTTTGGTCAATTGATAATGGTCAAGTTAAACATGTCCCTGAATCTCTTGTAAAGCGCATATTTTCTTGAATTAAAATGATGTTACTTAAGTCTGAAAAATGTATCTCTTTCTTATTAACTGACGAATGAACTATAACTCAAGCAGATTAAATAGGTTAACACACATTAACATGTAACATTAGGCCATTAAGTAAGTCAGCGAAAAATCAAAATTGTAAAATGAAAATGACATAACATCATCATAATGCTATTGGATATCTGGGTTAAAAGTTTCGAATACATATATATTGATTTGATGTGGTTCGCGATTGACCTCTTCAGTAGATTATTATTGTAAACAGTTGACCCCTGTAGATTACCACCGAGCTGGGCCTTAGGAATTAGTGTCCTGTCCAAATAATCCGGTATTACTATGGGACCAGTAATCCGCCATTGCGCGATACACACCAAGGCAATACACTAAGAATTCTGGTATGGTGGTCTACGGTATCTGTTGAAATGTCCGGATTCCTAGCTACCAGGATGGGGTAAACAACCAGCATTATCTCTCTAGATGTGTCAGATGGACATTTTCAAAATATTTTAAACTGTCATATTTTGAGTGTCGTCTGCTCAGATGGGAAGATGGCGTCGCCATAGTAAGATGGCGTCCTGTTGCCCCAGTGTTTAGGACACAAAAGTAAAAATCATGGATACTTTCGCGGGCCTGCTGACTCTCTGTGTTCTTCTTGGCATCATTTCCAACATAGGTGAGTGACTTCCTTTTAGTTTATTTAGTGTTTCGTGAACAAAACAAAGTCATGATGATCAAGATGTCACCAGTACATCGGTTTTTTTATTCAATGATATTATAACCATCTGTATTAAAACAATATCTGTTTTAAAGCTATTGTGAATTATTTTCCGTTACACCTATTTTTTTTTATTTATAGTTTATTAATTTTAGTGCCATGGACAATTCTTTACATTTGAAATTCATGCGATTGATTTGTGTCTACAAAAATTATAACGTTTAAGTTTTAAAATGAGAATTCAGAACTAATGTACATTGTTTGACTATATAAAACATACATAACTAAAATACACCTTGATATATGGTTTACAACCTATGTATTATAAAGTGGTTTGTCCAATATATTGATTTGTGAAAAGCAAAAGTTAATCCGCCTAACTATTAATACATACCGTTAGAAGTTGATTTAAACGGTAGTCTGAATTTAACACTGAAGATTATCAGATTTAAAGAGACAAACAATTTATTTATGAATATGGCCTACTTAAAATTTCCAGCTTTTCATGGTAGTAATACACTTTAGTGTAAACTTGTATCTGTATTTTAAAAGTGTTAATCATACCTTCTGGTTTTCTGCTATTTTTGTCTCAAACTATCTGTGACAAAGTCGTTACCTACCCCCTACCGAAATATACTGTATTACGGAAAGTTTTCGTCGCCCTTTAAATTCGCCAATTTCGCCCTCCGTATTAAAGCTTTACTGTTTATAACAGCTTATTGGAGTTCATACCGTACTTAATATTTAAGGTGTAATTCATATTAACACTTGGCTGATATAAGTTTTATAGGTGATAGAAGAATATTTGACTGGAGTAACCTTTTTCAGTATACAGCAGTGGGTGGGTGAGGGTTGGAGTTAGTGTGTGTGGATGGGTGGGGGTAGGAATTAGTGTGTGTGGGTGGGTG